CCCCAAAACCCCAAAACCCCAAAACCCCAAAACCCCAAAACCCCTCAGAACAAAATATTTATTGTAAATACCCAGAATAATCAAATGTTGATAAAAATCTTTACAAACTCAGCTTGCTATCCTTTATCTCCCTTATTGAAACCCTGAGGGCCTTTACGTTGTCCATAGATGACAAGAGGCGTGTATTTCTGTTCGATCTGCCGAGGATCTCCTTACTAGGCTTGGTTTTCTATAAGAATCGAAGTGTAATAAATCAGCAAAGTTAGGCTCCAATCCCCATTTGGGAAGATTTTTACGTACTTTTACATGTATCAGAGGAAGACTTTCATGAGCTCCCAAGCTTGCCTTCAAGTTCCTCTTGTACTTCTGTATGAGACTGGTATTTATCTTCGCTTTAATAAAACTCAAATCTGAAGATGGCCTTTCTCTTGGAGTTCCTAGATCATTAGCAAGCAGATGATACGTGACAAGCTCTGTTCATCAGGGTGGTTAAATTTCAATGTAGAAGCATGATAATTTTCTGTACCTAAGTATAGGTAAGATACCTGAAAATCCTTTGTTTTCACCTTTAGTCATTTTTCAAGGGGATTGAAGTCCTGCTTTTTCAAGTAAGCTCCTCGTCAATTTCTTCACTTCAGCCAGTAAAATTGGCACTAGAAATAAAAATTATGACAATCTTCTAAATCAGGGATCTAATTCAACCTGAGAATAAACAGAAGAGAGAATGCAGGGCCATACCAGTGTTCTTGATGACCTTCTTCGGTACCTTGGCTTTCTTTTGTAAGTGGTTAATCAACCTAATGATTTTCGAAATGTTCCAAAATTGTCTATGAGTGACTAATTTCAAATACTTATGCTTCTTGAGAACATTGACACTCAATTTGTCATATTTCTTCTTCCCAATCTTACGTAAAATATCTAAAATTTAATGTCAAAAGTGCCTTCTAGAGTCCTAAGAATGGACCTATTTGATTTTGGGGTTATTTATGGGGTTCCTAATCACGGAAAAACTTGTATTCCGCTTCTTAGATCCTTCACCAGCATCCATAGAATGTAGAAACCAGATGTTGGTATTAGGACTCTGAAGTGCCGACTTTCGAGGACTCGGGCTACCCTTATTGAGATTATAATGCTTTCTAAACCCTGTCTTGTCTACAAGATTGTTGATAAAGTTCAAGGCTGTCTTAACGTCTGCTATTTTGGATCCTCTTTTAATCTCGCTTGCTACAGATTAATTAAAAATAACTACAGTGCCTCTACAAAATTAGGGAGAAACCTACCGATATTTTATGAAGTTTGTGCACACTCAGCTTCCTTTTCTGGCTGCGAAATTTTTCACCAGCAAAGAGAGACTTATTTCCCTTCAATATTTGGATAATTAGGAGGGTTCATCTACAGAGATAAGCCTGATAAATTATTACTGTATCTTTCAGCCCAATCTGTCTTCTCGAGTCATCTCTATCGTAACCTAAGGAGGGTATCTCCAAAGATGTTGTGCAGTTAAGAATATCATCTCTTGACTGAGACAAACTCTCTGATAAAGATTCTTCCTATATGACGATTAGCTAATCTGAGGTGTTCTTATTACAGAGTTTAAAACCCTGCTGTGTTTAATAAAAGTAGACCGCTTCTGAATTGTTCTAAAATTTCCTAACTGTGCAGACCCATACATAAACTACAGAAGACGATACTTACAGAAATATCTTTATCACTTGTTGGAGGCTCCTCAGGATTGAGGAGCCCCAGGTTAATCATCTTATTGTTCCTTAAACTCTCTCTGCTCTTCTTCAAGTTCATTCTCATATTTCTAGCTGCGTTCTTGAGCCCTAGTAAAATTTTTAAATGAGATTTTACTGCTAATTCTGTAGGCCTTCCTTGTTAAGCTAGTGACTATCGCATTTTCAATCTCAACAATTTCTTTCTTCTAAACTAATGGGTTGGAGAATTTACCTTCTTGAGCTCATTTAGGACATTCTTAGGCCTCTCAAGTTGTGGGAATTTAGAGATCAAGTCTAGCATCACCTTCCAGTAATTATTTTTGGTCACTGGGCTTTATAATGTCTATAATTGATCACATTGAAAGGCATACCATCAAAGCTAACTTCAGAGGGGTACCCGAAATCAGGACATCTAGGAATTTTAAGGTCACTCAGACCTTTAGAAAGGTCAATATTATCTGCTAGAATAGTCCTCTTTTTCTCTCTCCCCTCCCTTGTTGGTAAGACTTGCTCTTTGATTCCAGTAAGTTTCTATAACACCAAATTTACTTTATGATTTATGAAGAACAACTAGGAGGAATAATTTGTGCTAGAATCAACCCAAATTTGGCAAAATAAAGTAGTGGCAGTCATATCTTACCCTATTTTTCTTGCTCCTAATCTTGCCAGGGATGAATGACATCTTCTTCATGAACTTGCTGATGTATTTCTGTTCGGTAGCTAAACCTTGTAAGACTTTGAGGAAGGGAATATATAATATATCTAAGATGCTTACGGCTATGCTTTCTCTCACTCTTTTCTTCAGAGTCTATACTAATGATTACCACTGAAGCTGAGAGAAATAATTACTAGAGTCTATCGTCGAGGTTCTGTACCATTCCTTTATTTTCTTCTTTAATGAATCGGGTAGATTCCTGTTAACAACATTAAATGTTATAGACAAAAACATCAGGCTAACAGCATCAGAAGTAGGAAGAAATTATGGGATATTTGGAAATCCTTGCCTCATGCCTGGGACAAAGGTTTTAAATGTAAAAATAGAGAATATGAAAGTGCAACGATTGGCTTTTGAATGATTCTAGTGAGCTACCAATTCCCATCCATCTTTAGAATCAGTTTGAAATGGTTACAGGAGCCTCATAATATTGTACTTACATTGCTCCTGCATTGGTTATCTGTCTGAACCGCTTCTGGTTCCTTCGTCATATGGGATGCTTATCTAAAAATGTATAAAAATTATGCTGGCCAGTCTTAACAAACTAAAACTCACCTGGTTTGGACATCTTGATAAATATTTGATAAAGTAAACTTTTATTCAATATTCTTCAAATATATTGGGGTTTTGGGGTTTTGGGGTTTTGGGGTTTTGGGGTTTTGGGG